AGAATTCTCGACTTTCTTTTTAGACGTACGGTTATCTTCTTCAAATCTTAGCTTGACAATCAGGTCTTCGATCTCCATTTCCTTGCGCTTATGCTTCCAGTAATTTTTGAAATCTTTCCGAAATATGTTGTCTATATACCATATACTATAGTATTATTTATTGAAATATTATGTAAAATTATAATGATTATTATAAAATAACAATATATATATATTTTCTTATATTATATAGCTTATAGTTTAATATAATAAAATAAAACTATAAGATAAAAGAACCTGATTAGAAGTCAAGGCTAGAATTTGATTCTATATCCTTCAGACAAATTCGCCCCGCTATGGTGCTAACGGACTCAGTGGCATCTATCTCCCAAGATACAACGACTTTTACTTCATTCGGTAGTAGCACTGCAAACCAAAGAAATAGGCGAACCTGCTCAGTGTAGTACTCTTTGACTCGAACTCACTAACCAAGGCTCGAACCCAAAGACTATGGGTTGAACCCACAGACAATTATAGAAGAAGAGAGAAGAAGGAGAGAATTCAGAAGTAGGAGAAATATTTTGAATTGGAGTGCTTTGGAATGAACCCAAAGGGGGATTTATATAGGCCTCACGTTGCCTTTTCGGATGGCTTGAACCATCACCTACATGGGTTGTGATGGTTCAGGTTAGGTGGTTAAAAAACTGAATGCATTGGTTCAGTTAAAAAAGAATGGGTGCAACCCTTTATTGAAAAAACTGAAATCTGGTTTTTAATTTAAATTAAAAATCAGCCCATTATTAAGCAGGCCCAATTTCGCCCATCTAAATAAGCCCATCAGAAATAAAATTAAGATCCAACAAACAAGCGCATTTTTGTTTAATAAAAAATTAAACAGATTTCACAATTAAGCCCGGACCGAACCGAGTCGTGTTGGGTGGGCGGTGCGCGCGTGTGGTAATTGGTTCGGACCCAAACTTGCCTACGTCCTCCCTCTCTTAAAAACTTGGGTGCCTTTGGGCCAAACCCAAATCCCATACTAGGCTTATTTATACTTCAGGTGGTTTTAATATTTTTCCGATGTGGGATAAACATTTCCCACATATTGCAAATCCATTTAGGCTTATCAAACACCTCACTTTGGAGCTAATTTCTCATTCACCCGGAAACAAATTTGAGAAAGTAAATATACTACGTTCATCTCCTTGCGGAGAGGAACGCGCTCGTCTATAGATCCGCAAGCAATTCTTACCGGAATCTATTATAAATCTCATCCAAAGTTTATGGTTTTAATGCCCCTGTTTCCAATACTCTTAGGAATAGAGAAACCCATAATTGCCGTTTATAAATCATAGTTTAGGCCGTGAAAGCTAGTGCGGGAAGTTTTCAACTGACTTTCTTCCATCAATCATCTGGATCTACACAGATATACGGTTTCAAGGGGTCATCCATTACGGGAGGACCTTCCTCTGAGTGGATATGTGGAAGTATGCTACGAAGATCTAGAGAAACGTGTGGTTTCTGAACCTATTGAGATGATCCAAGAAATTCGTTGTTTCGATTCTGCTAGCCCTTAGAAGCGATGGATAATGAAGAATCATCATAGGTCCAATTGGGAATCGTTGAAAGAAAGAGAGAAAAGAGAAAAGGTTTTTACCCAATTAAAATGTGTTGATCCGACTTTCTTTTTCTTTTTTTATTATTTTATTGATTTTGTTATTAAAACTGATGTGTTATTTTTTTATTGGACCACATAAGGGGTGAGTAGGGTGAAGTTACTCACCGGTGAGTAGCTAAGCATTGTCCTTTCCGGTATATTTCATTTGAATTTTCATTTTTCCTTTTTAAAATGTCCCAAATTACTTATCTCATTTGAAAAGTACAAGCAAAATAAAAGTTATTTTTCATTATTGCCCTTTAAATTTTTATAACTCTTTCAACTTTATAAGGATAGGTTAATAATTTTAAAAGATTGCATTAAATACATATCTCCTTAAAAAAAATTAATACAAAAATGAACAACTAATATGATAGTGGGGGAGTATGAGTTTAGTGGGACCTATAATGTGAAGATTTATTTATTTTTATTTATTTATTTATTTTTTAAATAATAATGAGGTTGGCTCAACTAAAAACAAGTACGATGACAGCCCCAATAGGAATAAAGGCACCATATCTCATTATATTAGTTATATAATCTTTTTAAGGGTGTTGTCAAGGGTATCTCAACCATAAGGCAACGTAAGCCCCAATAAGAAAAGAGGCCATATATCTCATTATATTAGTTATATATATATTTTTTAATAAATTAATTATGGTTTATATATTATATTAAATACCAAATAAATAATTGCTCTTCTAATGGTTAATGCACTTTTTTATATTAATTATAATTATATATATAATTAATGAATTATTTGTGCATAGTATATTGTATTAATTACCAAATATATTAGTTTTATCTAATAATTACCTCATTTTTTATCTCAACTATTTCATTTGTACTTTTCTAATTTTTAAATTTTCTTGCATATCAATACTTATTCATAATTTTGTACCAATTTATTGACTCTCTTTTACATAGAGTTCCAGCATAATTTAATCACTATCTATTAAGTTAAAAAACGTTAATAGTGTTTTATATTTCCTCGAGTTTATTGCAAGTTAAGTGGAGAGAATAATTGTTAAATAAAAATTATAAGTATCATATTAATATAATAAATGGGAGAAGACATGATATAACGATTTTGCTTTAGACCACAAACTACATTAAGCCAATCCTGATGATGATTGAGTTCTATTCTTGCTTATTGTAAAGTATGGAGTGCTTGTCTTTCGATTCAAAAATTTAAACTGTTATGTGGGGCTATCTACCTGTTGTTTAAGGATAAGAACTTCTCCATCTTCATGGCATGTGGGATAAGAAGCTCTAACCACTACCCGACTCATTGTGTGAGCATTTGATATGACAACAGATTAATAATTAAGCTCATTTTAATACCACTTGTAATGGGTTAGACGCTTTGCCGCCTACCCCACCCTTTATGCTCAAGAAGCTCATCGTCCAAATCCAATGTGAAAAAAAAATTCCAACCCCTAGTTGACACATAATGATGGACTCTTAAAATGTTTGTATTTAATAATAAAAATTCTCAACTGAAATTAAAGTTTTCATTTAAAAAATGGTAAAGTACAAAAAAACCCTCATGCTATATAAAAAATATATAAGAAATACTCTTGCTTTTTATAAAGTACATATAAATGTCTATATTTTTAAAATTTGTAACAAATTGCTCCCTAGTCGTTAATTAATTATTACTATTTTTTAATAAAAATTCCAAAATGCTCATAATGGAATTTTGAGGTATTTAAAAAAAAATACAAAATATAAATAAATAAAATTGTATTTTTTTAAAAAAAATAATAAAAATGCCCTTGTTTTAATTTTTAATTTTTAATTTGTCTTTAGGACATTTTAGGTATTTCAGTCTTTAAATTGAAGAATTGTCTTTATTTGTTTAATTGATTTTTTGAACACCAAAGAAGTATTTGCACATTTTTATATATAAGGTGGTTCGTTGCACTTTACCATTAAAAAAATAACAATAACAGTGTGTAATTATATTTTAACAATAATTTCTAATAATGATATTGCTTTAATGTCTAATGTGTAATTATATTTTAACAATAATTTCTAATAATGATATTGCTTTAATGTCTAATTGAAATTTAGATCAAATTAAAAAGGGTAAAATTACACTAATCACATTTGGGGTTTGGATAAATTATACACAAGTAGATGGTTTAACATTTTTATTTTGGCAAGCCTTAAATCAAATCATCAACGATTAGATTTTGAAAATGAAAAATAATTATCAATTGTAATGAGTGGAGTTTACTTATTTATCCAAAAGTTCAAGTTATTGGGTAATACTGCATACTTAGCCATTTATATCTAATCACTTTTTCATCCAAATTCGACGAGGGACAAATGACGGTTGTTACACCTACCCATGTGTAATTAGGTTAGTGCAATTTAGCCATAAAAAATTCTTGATTCAAAATCACAAATAATAAAAAGAAATTATTTAATATACTGCCTAAAGACTAGATTTAATTGAGAGATTGATCCGGTAAAAGTTCCATTAATTTAACCTCTGTGACTTGTGGTAACCAGGACTGTAAAACAAATATAAATGCACAGTCAAGGCAGTAAAAGAATTCACTTTATTTTTATCCAATTGACGACGCGCGTGAAACAAACGGCATTCACAACGCTCCTAATTCCCAGGCCAAATTATAGTGGGTTGGTCTCTTTCTCTCCGTGCCGGCTGCTTTTCATTTCAGCCTATCATATCTCATCCACATGATTCTATTTTCCCAGCTTTTTCTAAACTTCATCAGGAAAAAAAAAGAAAAAGAATTGTATTTATAAGGACGTTATTATCCTTACCATATTTATTTCGGTACATAGATAATTTTTCTACAATATAAAAAAATAATAATAATAATTTTCTTTTCAAAAAGGTTGAATGATATATGTATTTAATTTTATTTTATTTAAAAATTCACATATTACAATCTTACCTCCAATAACTTGAACAACTTGCCTCCTTTCTAAATAAAATGAAAATCATATTAATGAATTTTCTTTTCATGATACTTTCTATAAATATTTTTACCAAAAGTTATAAATTAGTGATATCTATTTTCCATACTGTAAAGTCAAAGTTAAGTTATATAAAGACAATATAAGTGTATATGTCTATAATATTTAATTGTAAAAATATAAGAAACTAACTTCTGCATAAATTTAATTGTTTATGACTACATAATAGTGAGAGAGCCGTGAGTGAACTGAGTTTGTCATTCTTTTTTTATTTTATTTTTATGTCAAAAATCAAATTAAAGACAAGTTTATTGTAAGATAAAAATAAATTACATATATATTTATGACCTTTATTTATTTATTTATTTAATATATATTTGCTGTGATGTCCACTCGTTTTCCTTTATAAGACCACCTCCTCTCCACTTTTTCACAATCCCAATCTCTCACCATTTCCAATTTTTCTCATCGATATGGGTTCGTATCGATCTCTTGTATCCATGGTGGTCCTTCTCTTCATGTTCTTAGCCTTCTCGTCGGCGTTAGACATGTCGATCATCAGCTACGACTCAAAGCACAGCGACAAAGCCAGTTGGAGGACCGACGACGAAGTGATGACCATGTACGAGTCCTGGCTCGTCAAGCACGCCAAGGTTTACAACGCCTTGGGTGAGAAAGAGAAGAGGTTTCAGATCTTCAAGGACAACCTCCGCTTCATCGACGACCACAACGCCGCCGAGGACCGGACCTACAAGCTCGGTCTGAACCGTTTCGCCGATCTGACCAACGAGGAGTACCGGTCCATGTACTTGGGGGCCAAGCGGAGGGTGTCGGCTCCCAAGACGAGCGACCGATATGTTCCATTCGTCGGCGAAAGCTTGCCGGACTCCGTCGATTGGAGGGAAAAAGGGGCCGTCGTTGGAGTCAAAGACCAAGGACAGTGTGGTGAGCTATTTTTCCTTTTTTTCTCTGTTCTGACGATATTGCCCTCCCTTAAATTAATCTCTTCTTAATTTTGGTTGTTGGAAATAGGGTCAGTTTTGGAATTTACTGCAATATATATATATAGATACATATAATTTACTGAGTAATTTTTTTTTTTTTTTTTTTCATGTGATATATCGAGCTCATCGGTTATATTCAATGATAAATTTCTTCTTGACCGTTGATAGAGAATTAGAGATCATTTTCGGTGATATATGTTAGATATAGTTTTTGTGGCAATTTGACAATAATACATATTTGATATATATATATATATGTAATATGTATTCATATTTGACAAATTATTAGATTTGAAACTATTTAATTGATTACAACTCATCAGCCATAATGACCCTTTTATTATGGTAATCTTAGAGAACTTTTCTATTTACGTTTTGATTGGTAAATTACTAAATAACCCCTAAGAGGGACCAAGAAAAGTATAAAACTTTACTGATATTGATGAGCTTCAAGTGAAAGACATAAGAGATCAGAAGTTGGTTTTGTGAGATTAATGGAATAAGAATTAATTTAATATTATTTGATCAAAATTACAGTTTCAAAATCAGAATTTGTGCTCTTATGGTAAGATTGTCTAGTGTTTTTTACTATAAAAATCAATTGATATCCTTCAATTCCATCCTTGAATTTAGGCACCATATTTATAGAGTTCATAATTCATCATTATTGTCATCATCAACATCATCTATGCCTTTATTCCAAATAAACCAGTCGGTCACATCTTATCACTTTATTCCATTTAAGCTATGTTAGTTTTGGTCAACTCTCTGTCTCGTCAATCATCGTTTCCTCACCGGTGCATCTATAGGTTGTTGAACCCATACCACCTAAATCTGCTTTTTCTTATTTACACTTTATATAATTATTAAGAAAAAAACAATTATAGTCTGTTTCTGAGAAATAACCTTTTTAGGTCGAGTATGAAAATAAATTCAAACCGAGTGCAAGTGGAAAAAAGTGATCATTCCCATAAAGTAAAGCGGGGAAACAATCTTATTGCTTGTCTGCTGGTGGACCTGACTAGATATGTGGGATTAATAGCCATTTTTTCTTTTAATTTGTATACCTACGTATTTATTGCCTTTTGCACTATTAATTTATCCTCACATGCCGCAAAACGTCATGCATGAAGTCAGCTGTTTCATGGTCCAATTTCAAAAATCGTATTAGTACATATACAAAATCTTTTTGCACGTTTCTTAAGAATGATCTCCGATCTAGGATGTGTATTAAAAAATAACCCTTACATATTCATGTGTGTGTATCTATATACATGAACAATATATTTTTGTTAATCTTGTTTTGGCAGGCATTTTTTTTTTAGTCCTATGCATTTTAAATTAATCATATGTTGATTAATGTAATTTGAAAAATGAAGGGAGTTGCTGGGCGTTCTCAACTATTGCTGCCGTTGAGGGGATAAACAAGATAGTGACCGGAGATTTGATGTCGTTGTCGGAGCAAGAGTTGGTGGATTGTGATACATCCTACAATGAAGGATGCAATGGGGGTCTCATGGACTATGCTTTTGAGTTCATCATCAACAATGGTGGAATTGATACTGAAGATGATTACCCCTATAAAGCTAGAGATTCCATATGCGACCAGTATAGGGTATTGATGGCTAAGTTTTTTTTTTTTTTTTTTTTTAGGAACAAATTAAACAATGAAAATGGTCAAAGAAATTATAATATATCTCTCGTTCTTTACTTTTTTGATGGTGTGTAGAAAAATGCCAAGGTTGTTACCATTGATGGTTATGAAGATGTTCCTCCAAATGACGAGAAGGCATTGCAGAAGGCAGTGGCAAGTCAACCCGTGAGTGTTGCTATTGAAGGCGGTGGCCGGGAATTCCAATTATATATCTCGGTAAACTTCAATCTTTGGTCACTGTAGTTAAGTTTCTTTTCTTAGATTCATATGATGCTAGATTTTTCCATTGTTACAAAGCATACATATTTCGCAGCACAGTGTGGACTTCAAGCTGTGCATATGTCAATTCGTTATTCACTTGATTAACCAATCCTTATAGTAGTACTAAGTGAAAATGGTATGGTTTTCAATTCCATGTTTGTTGAAATTTTTTTATTTATCGTCTCTACAGGGTGTATTCACGGGAAAATGTGGGACACAACTTGACCATGGTGTCGCAGCAGTTGGATATGGCACAGAAAATGGTGTGGACTACTGGATTGTGAGGAACTCTTGGGGCGCAAGCTGGGGTGAGAATGGCTACATAAGGATGGAGCGTAATACGGCTACTGCACTAACAGGCAAATGTGGAATCGCGATGGAGCCCTCTTACCCCATCAAGAAGGGCCAAAATCCCCCCAACCCCGGCCCATCCCCTCCATCTCCAATTAAGCCTCCCAATATGTGCGACGAATACTATGAATGTGCTGAAAGCAGCACTTGCTGCTGTGTCTTTGAATTCGGCAAGTATTGCTTCCAGTGGGGATGCTGCCCACTCCAGGGTGCCACCTGCTGTGATGACCATGCCAGTTGCTGCCCTCATGAATACCCTGTATGCAATGTTGGCTCCGGGACCTGCCTGATGGTAAAGAACTAAACCTGTTAATCTTTGTTTTCTGTATCTATATGCTAATGGTAATTTGTAGTAGTTTCTTGATGGGTTTTTGACTTGCTTACATTCCTTGATGAAACAGAGCAAGGACAATCCATTGGGAGTGAAGGCGTTGAAGCGCGTTCCCGCTAAACCTCATTGGCCATTCGGGAGTGGAAAGAGCAGCAGTGCTTGACTGCGTTGGGAGTAGAAGATGGTTGAAAGACTTGAAGGATGATTGATGATCTCCTTAGTATTATTATTATACTGCAAATCTCATTTCCACCATTATAGATGACAAATAGATGGATGGTCTAGTGATCATGATTCAGATGCTGATATGTATATAATGCTTTATAATTTCTGCGTTGAATATTTATCAACAAAAAAATTGTTGTCAATTTCCATTTTACTCAAATTATGTATATAATGATGCTTCATGTTCCAGCTATCTTTTGTAAGCCTTCCATGAATTGCTTCTCATCAAAATGTTGACTTTAGTGCATTTGATGATAATAACATTTCATTTTCTTTTCATTCGAGTTATCCCAACTCCTATAATTTATTGTGCGCATGTAATTATCCTGGGTATTGAGTACTTTCTCTAATTGTTGAGCGTCAAAGGGAAAGCAGACTGAATTGTTAATTAACCCTGTTTGATTAGTTGACATAATGTTGCTGATCCAATTTCCTTTCTATTTAAAGGTGTTTGTCATGTCCACTTGAATGATACAACTTCCAACCGCAGGTAGTTGCTTACTCATTTGCTTGTCACATGTCCCACTTTGATTGATGCAAATCTCAAGGATCTACAATGTGTCCCTAGGCAGTTTGTTTTTTTACCATTTCCTTGGATGAAACCACGTCACATTTTAATTGTATCATGCATATCATCCTTCCATTGAAATTGGCCACGGCAACTTTTCATTGTGAAGTGGTCCATTGAAATTGGCCACGACAACTTTTCATTGTGAAGTGGTCGATAATTATAGAGCAAACAGTTACACGCATGACCTTTTTACGTGTCCAACTCTGAACGGTTTTCTGCCAAGTCTCTGAAAGATACTAATTTTTACTTAAAATTGTAAATAACCACATATTAACCTTTTACTGAAATATGCTACCATAATATTTATGGTATAAACAAAAGGTGCTAGTCTTAAGAGTTTTGGAATGGTTTTGGGTGATTAAATTTAGTTTGTTTTTCTTGTTTGCTTACTTCAGAATGGATGTAGGGTCATCCCTGTTTTGGAACAATGAGGTTAGGAAAGAAGTGTAGCAATTCACTGCACTGGTCGGTGTAAAAATTAATTTTCACGTAGTTATTATAAAAGTTTCAATTTCAGATTATACTATGATAATAATGAGTATATTAGTAAAAATAATTTTAAACTATCTCCCATTCTCTTTTAATAAACATAATAAATTGTGAACTTCTTCTATTTTCTTTCATTTAATCTAATAAAAAAAAACAAGGAACAAAATCTCTTCTCTAAAAATATTACATCCATCCCTTTTCTCTCATTCCCATTCAATTTTTTTCTTTATTAACAAAGCACAAATATTTTACCGTATTCCTAAATCATTTGGTTTCTCAAAGGACAAGAATGTTCACAATTTGTGTAGGGTATGATGGCCTATGATTTATGAAAACCTATCATCTCCAATCATTTTTGTCTACATGCATCCAGAGGTTAAAAATGTAACATATCATCGCTTTTAACACAATTTTAATTTTGAAAAATAATTTTTACATTGAGTAGTTGCTATAAAAATTTTCACTTATTTATAATTTACATAAATAATTAATTAAATTTTTTATATTATGTAGCACTACTTTGAAGAGATGAAAATTTATAAAGGATAAAAGAAAACATTGAATAACATTATTTATTAATTATAAAAACATTGAATAACATTATTTATTAATTTTAAAAGCATTGAATAAAATATAAATAAAATACAAATGTATATAAAAAAAAAAATATAAAAATGCATATAAATAATTTTAAAAATATACGGATTATAATACACTTGTACAAGGAGTAGTGCAGTGATGTGCACCCGTTTGCCTTTATAAGACAATCTCCGCTACACCTTTTTCACAATTCCAATCTCCCTTCACTCCCAACGAAGATGGGTTCCTATAGATCACTTCTATCCACGGCGGTCCTTTTCTCCATGTTCTTCGCCTTTTCGTCGGCGTTAGACATGTCGATCATCAGCTACGACTCAAAGCACAGTGACAGAGCGAGTTGGAGGACCGACGACGAAGTGATGACCATGTACGAGTCCTGGCTCGTCAAGCACGCCAAGGTTTACAACGCCTTGGGTGAGAAAGAGAAGAGGTTTCAGATCTTCAAGGACAACCTCCGGTTCATCGACGACCACAACGCCGCCGAGAACCGGACCTACAAGCTGGGTCTGAACCGCTTCGCCGATCTGACCAACGAGGAGTACCGTTCCATGTACTTGGGGGCCAAGCGGAGGGTGTCGACGCCCAAGACGAGCGATCGCTATACTCCCCGCGTCGGCGATAGCTTGCCGGACTCCGTCGATTGGAGGGAAAAAGGTGCCGTCGTTGGAGTCAAAGACCAGGGTAGCTGTGGTGAGCTTACTTTTCTTTTTCCTCTGCTGTGACGTTATTACCCCTGTTTAAACTAATATCTTCACTTCAGCAAAGGTCAATTTTGGTACTTAAAAAGAGGTCAATTTTGGAATTTATAGTGTATATATATGATTGCAATTATTTTAAAGAATTATCACGTTGTCATTTTTAAATATTTATTCAGAGAAAATTTTGAGGAGATAATATTTGATTTGAGACGTCTTTTTCACGACAGATGGAGTATACAAATTCCAGCTATAATTTCCCATTTTATTATAGTTTGTGATGATTTGACGATAATACCCTCTGATTAATTGTATCATTTTTTTTCCCTATATGTTAGGTAGGAAATTAGGACCAACGTGTATATATATATATAAATGAACGCGTCTTAATTGTAAAAAGAAAAAAAAAAAAAAAAATCTATTTCTAAGAGAATATTTTTATTATGTCAATTATTAAAAAGTTTCAAGCGAGTTCAAGTGAAAAAATGCATTGGACCAATATCCTCTTTTGTAAAAGAATCTTTTTGAAAAAATGCGTTAAATGAAAAGAATCTTATTTATTGTTTGTCTGCTCGTGGATGTGACTGTATGGGTTCGATATCACATTTTATATATTTATGTATTATTATTAGTATTATTATACTTCTAATTTGTATTAATCGCTAGTTTTGTCCCCATATGTCCACAAAACGTCATGCATGAACTCACTAGACTCCAACTATTATGGCCCACGGCTCGGCTATTTTATGGGAATTGTCTCCTCTGAGTCCTCTCTAATAATTAAGCATGGTCCAATAAAAAAAACTTTTATGTCCTTAATAGAAATGATATCATTCACGCCAAATATGGTATTTTTTTTTTGCTAAATTACTTTTATTTTTTTATTTTTTACTCTTAAATCATATCTAAGGATTACTACTGCTTGGTGGGCGAGAAAGTTCCGAGAAAGTTTCTTGGTTACAGTGAGGGAGGAAAGACATTATTACTCTATTAGTGTGTGTGGTGTGCAAGATTGGAATAGTATGCCATTCTAATCATTTTTTTGTTTGGGATGAAATTTAAATTGAGAATGGTCATTTTATTGGAATGAAAATTCATTCATGTGAATGAAAATCCATTCCACAACTAAATTTATGAATGACCATTTCATTCCCAACTAAATTTTTTTAAAAATTCAACTTCCCAAAAAACTCTCATGGTTCAAGTCCAAAAACTATCACTACCTTCCACCACAACCACATCCGTCTTTCACTACCATCACCATCGGCATCCACCACAACCACCATCAACTTTTACCTCCACCACCATCGACTTCCACTGCTATCACCTCCACCACCATCAACTTTCACCACTGCGCACCGCACACCGCTTTCCACCACCGTCATCGCCACTACCTTCAACCACCGCCATCGCCTTTCACCACAGTCACCACCTTCACCACCGCCACCATCTTCCGTCACCGCCACAACCTTCCGCTACCGCCGCCACCTTCCATCACCACCACCATCACCACCACCACCACAACCACCGCCATTCACCATTGCCTTCCACCACCACCACCGTCACCGCCTTCCGCCACCACCGTTATCGCCTTCCACCACCACCTTCCACCATCTGCACCTCCACCGCCTTCCACCACCGCCATTGCCACTGCATTTCACCACCACCACAGTCACTTCTATTGGTTTGCACCACCATCACCTCAATTGGCTTCCACCACCGTTACTTACACTACTATCTCATTCGATCACCACCACCACACTATAACCACCGCCTTCCACCATTGCCACCACCGCCGCCTTCCAACACCACCACGTACACCACTATCGCTTTCCACCTCTACCACAACCGCCGGTGCTACCATTTATTTAAAAAAAAATTATAAAACAATGTCATTTTGTTAATTTAATTTCTTTATTACTAAGATAGATATTTTGAAAAAGTCAATTTAAAATTTATTGCATTCAAAATTTTAAATTGATTCAACGAAATACTAGAATGATTATTGTCATTCAATTTCTATACATTTCATATTTACAACCAAATAATAAAATAACAATGGACATTTTATTTCCATTCTCATTCCATTCCAACACACTAAATGCAGCATATATGTATGTATATATGCATATTCTCTTTTTATAAATTTCATCCAAATACACAAGCACAAAATATTGCTACTAACAGGTATCCAACACTCAAGAAAAAAGACCCCATTTCTTAAAATATCATATTAATAAATTTACAAAATGTTTTAGCATCTAAAGAATAATCGGATGCGTATTAAAATTTTAAAATTTAAGCCCTTCGTGTATAGACACAAATTGTTTTAACTTTGTCTTGTTTTGGCAATTTTTTTTAGTCCTGTGTACCTTGAATTAATCATGTGTTGATTAATGTAATTTAAAATGAAGGGAGTTGTTGGGCGTTCTCAACTATTGCTGCTGTTGAGGGGATAAACAAGGTAGTGACCGGAGATTTGATATCATTGTCGGAGCAAGAGTTGGTGGATTGTGATACATCCTACAATGAAGGATGCAATGGTGGCCTCATGGACTATGCTTTTGAGTTCATAATCAACAATGGTGGAATTGATACCGAAGATGATTACCCCTACAAAGCTAGAGATGGAATGTGCGACCAATACAGGGTTGGTATTGATTGTGAGATTTTTTAAATAGGAAAAAATTAAAAAATGAAAAATAGTGATAGAAATTATAATGCATCTCATTCTTCCCCCCGCCCCCCCCCCCCCTCCCCTTTTTTTTTTTCCTCCGATGGCGTGCAGAAAAATGCAAAGGTTGTCACAATTGATGGTTACGAAGACGTTCCTCCAAATGACGAGAAGGCATTGCAAAAGGCAGTGGCAAGTCAACCAGTGAGTGTTGCTATTGAAGGCGGCGGCCGGGAATTCCAATTATATATCTCGGTAAACTTCTATCTTTGTCATTGTAGTTAAGTTTCTCTTCTTAGATTAAAAGATGCTAGAATTTTCTATCGTTGCAAAGAATACATTTTGGAAAGTTGCAGCAGAGAGTGGACTTAAGCTGTACATAATAGACTAATTCATTATTCACTTGATTAACCAATTCTTATAGTATGGGTAATTCCCAGTGGCCTAGTTGGTAGAACGTTCAAATTCCCATGTGAGTGTGTTCGTGTTCGAATCCCCTCCTCCCCTAGTTTGCATCAAAAAAAAAAAAAAAAAAAAAAAATTCCTTTATTTAATTACTCTTTTATTTTTATTTATTTATTTATTTTTCTTAGTTTGTACTTACACACACTTGTCTCTTCTGAGACTTAAACCTCTGACCTTCCTTTGGGAAGTAAGAGGCTGATACCGTTAGGCCACTAACCTGTTGGTATTACTCTTTTTATTTATCGTGTCTACAGGGTGTATTCACGGGAATTTGTGGGACACAACTAGACCATGGTGTGGCTGCAGTTGGATATGGAACAGAAAATGGTGTGGACTACTGGATCGTGAAGAACTCTTGGGGTGCAAGCTGGGGAGAGGATGGCTACATCAGGATGGAGCGTAATACGGCTACAGCACTAACAGGCAAATGTGGAATCGCAATGGAGCCCTCTTACCCCATCAAGAATGGCCAAAATCCCCCCAACCCGGGTCCATCTCCTCCATCTCCAATTAAGCCTCCCAATATGTGCGACGATTACTATGCATGTGCTGAAAGCAACACCTGCTGCTGTCTCTTTGAATTCGGCAAATATTGCTTCGAGTGGGGATGCTGCCCACTTGAGGGTGCCACCTGCTGTGATGACCATTATAGTTGCTGCCCCCATGAATACCCCGTATGCAATGTTTACTCAGGGACGTGCCTGACGGTAAGAACTTAACTGATTAATCTTTTATTTCTGTGTATATGCTATCATGGTAAATTGTAGTAATTTCTTATTGATGTGTTGTTGACTTGCTTGCTTGAACAGAGCAAGAACAATCCATTGGGAGTGAAGGCGATGAGGCGCGTTCCTGCCAAACCTCATTGGGCATTCGGGGGTGGAAAGAGCAGCAGTGCTTGATTGCCTTGGAGTTTGTTTGAAGTTGATGATCTTGTTAGTATTATGATACTGCAAACCCCATTTCCACCATTATATATAGATGACAAATAGATGGATGGTCTATTGATCATGATATGTATGTATATAGTGCTTTATATTTTTATATTTCTGTTAGTCAACAAACAGATTGTTGTCGATTTCCATTTGACTCAAATTATGTACAGTATTTAAATGCTTCATGTTCCAGTTATATTTTGTGGGCCTTCCATGAATTGTTTCTCATTCCAATGTTGATTTTAGTACATTTTGATGATAATAAAATTTTGTTTCTTTATTAGTTAGTGTCTTTTTGGGACGACATCTTATAGTATTCGAGCATCAATAGGAATGCAGACTGAATTGTTAATGCTGTCTCTTGATTCCTTAATGTAAGTTGAATAAGTCGATCAGAATTTTGAAATAGCTTGCTTATCCGGATAAGTTGAAATGAGTGAAACATTTTATTGCAAAATGAAAAATCAGGAGATTTGAGTTTGATTGACTTCTTAGACTTTATCATTAGTATTAGTTTATATAAAGCTTTATTTTGAAACTTGGTTGAATAAGTCACAGATATTAATGACATGTTTGGAGAAGATTAATAACAAATCCAGAGCAAGTCATTTAGAAGTAGACACAGAGCGTTAACAATCCCAAATGAAAGGGCTGAGTTGGGACTAGCTCAACCCCAAATTTTACTTGTCCATAACGGTTTGGTTTGTTTTTGTTTTTATTATTTTTTCTTTTTGTTTTTTGTTTTTTTTTCAAAGCAAGAATGTTATATTAGAAGTTAGGGAGTGCAAAGGCTTGAAGCCCGACTCCTTAGAATATCGGGGAGCAACCCAATCGTTGGGCTAAGGGGGAAATTCGGATTCCCTAGAACAACTGCGAGCAACCCAACCGCTAGACTACGATGACGTTTGCTTTCATACCAGTTAACTACTTGCCTCGAATAGGGGTTGGGTGTTGGAACTCTGTTAAGGAGAATATTGTAGGTGTGTACATTGATATAAATAATCATAATAAAATTGAAGAAAAATGAAAACTCTCAACTTGATGAAGTCGTCCAAGAAACGCAGGTGTGGATTATTGTGGTACGCTCCACACTAATGTCTGTGAGTTGGATGTTGATTCTCAACAAGTGTAGCATGGGGGCAAGTCATTATCTCTTGCCATGTGACTTCTATTTAGTTTGCAAAAAATAATTCCTCCCAAGATATAATGTTGTTGAGTATCACTTACTATAAAAAAATTATTTTATGATTCGGAATTACATGATTCTGACTAATAACAAGTAACAACCTATCATACAAATAAAATACATAATTTTTTATATTAATAAATAAATATTAAAAGACTGAAATAATGAAACACTTTACACTTTTAATAATAATAAACAAATACTGAAACTCTTTACATTTTTAATAATAATATAGATATAGATATAAAAGCTCTATATATATAACTATTTAAAAAATATGATATATATTTAAGCTATAGTCCCATTAAATATTAGTACTACTCATTTAACTTTATTTATTAAGCCCAGCCCAGCCCAGCTCAATTTAATTAGTCTTTTTTTTTCAAAAACCCATCACCCGCTGAAGCCCATCCTATATATACACCATGATTTCCATCTAACCTAATCCCTCGTACTCTCTCCTTACAACAAACAAACCCTAGCGCCAACGCAAAATAAAAAAATAACAGTGTTATCTGTGCTTCTACACCGTCACGACCCTAGGAAGGAGATTGGTGTTGATAATCGCGCCACGCTAGCTGTCTAAGTGGCGCCACCTCTAAAAATAAACACACCTGGCCAGTACTTATCTGGCGTGCTCCTGAAAGGACCAAGTATCCTCTCGCTCGTGTTAGCACCTCGCACTTGCTCTCGCTAGCATCTCGCACTCCCTCGTGCTAGCACCTCGCACACGCTTGCGCTCACACCTCGCACTCCCTTGCGCTAGCACCTCGCACGCGCTCGCGCTAGCACCTCGCACGCGCTCGCGCTAGCACCTCGCACTCGCTCGCGCTCACACCTTGCACTTGCTCGCGCTAGCACCTCGCACTCCTTCGTGCTCGCACCTCGCACTCGCTCTTGTTAGCACCTTGCAATCGCACTCGTTCGAAACAACCATTCTTCCTGCTCTTCCGAGGTCGCTTCCTGCCGGAGTGACCTCGAGCTTTCTGTATTGTGAGCTCCCCTCTTTTTGGATAGAGGGACCTCGAAATATTGACTCGGGATGTGGCCTCGCGGGGTCAAGAAGGCAGAACCTCGGAGTAGGCTCATTCCTATGCTGGGTTCGGGAATCTGAGGGCATGTGGACAGGTGGCTGAGATCCAAGGTACCGCCTTAGTCCGAGGCCGATGCAAGGGGGAAAGAACATTCGGTATTCGAGCTCGAGCTATGAGTGATAAAAAGTGCATTAATTACGAAAGACATTTGACAAGACCTGTATTAATTAAGGAGTGCCGTTACCTCTTTGGACTTGGGGATAAAACGCCGTGGTCCATCCGTCAATGTCCCATCTGTCGGGAGGGGAGACTCTCGAACCCTTGGGCAAGAACGGGCTCACCCAAAGGACTGAGAGACATTGACCGAGGGAATGAACACTATTAATTAGCCTTTTAGAGGGAGAGAGAACAACGACCCTAACCACCAAACATTGCCGAGTTCGAGTTCATTGGGTACCGAGGTCGGCCTTCTCTTTCTTAATCTTTACTGTGCAAAGAGTCCCTTGTATCGTTTGAATCTCCACTTGGATACTGATCTCAGATTTCTTGGCTTATGTGGAACGATCTCCTCATCTTACTCACGAACCACCGTCAACATTTTGGCGACTCTGCTGGGAAGGAGTATTCCATAAATGTCGAGTTTGCAAGAGATTGGCCCTCTATGCATATGAAAGAAGTCTTATATGATTGGTTATTTCGCTCCTCACTCGTTTTCTGGTTGCTTACTCTAGTTTCAAACTGACATGCTTCTCTTTAAATTTTTATTTCATCTATACTGATATACCACGTTTTGTCATTTACATTCAAAAATATGGTATTCATGTCACGACTTTTGTATTCTTCTGCATCTCTAAAAATCATTTTTTCTTCTATTTTATTGTTTGTTCATGCCGATTCATCAATTGTTTCAAGCACACTAGCTGTTTAAAGAAAAAAATTAAAATCACTTCATTTCAAGGCATACAGGCATAGTCTCCTCGAGCTCTTGACCGTTTCATCATGTTGACTTCACCTCGATCGTGTAGGAGCATCTCGCATGTCTGTACCTTGTTTCTTCTTTGTGATGCATTTTTATTTTTTATTTTTTTTATTTACTTATCACTCGAGAGTGGAGACCCAACAGGCCTACTCCTAACTTTTGATTCCTTTGACACATGTTTCTTTCGTGAGATGACTCTTGCTTGATACCTTAAATGAAATCTTGTACCTGTCATATCTTCATTTTTTTTTGTCTTTATATCATTATTATAATGGTAATTGAAATGTAAGTTGACATGTTCACACCATGAAGTGACTAGGGCAAGTTATTACACCATGCTGGCTACATCAAATATTGTGCACACCTTAGTTTTTTTTGTTATAACCTCACAGTCATTGCTTCCTTCCCTGCTACAGCATAATAGTTAGAGTAATAAATAAATAAATAATAAAAAATGGAAGTTTTTGTTAAGGACTGGAGCTTTTCATCTCTGGGATGGATTGTAAAGCAATTGAGATTGTAAATTGATTGAGTTGGTCTTTTTTTTTTTTTTAGTGGCTAAATTGTTAAGAAAATTGAATGGAAAGGATATATTTCATTTTATTTGTTTTGCTGCACCATATTACTGATTTACACATTGAAACTTAGGTATCAGTCATTAATTTTTATTTTTATTTTTTATTTTTTTTTATATCATTATCCCATCAAATCTTTTTTTTTTTTTTTTTTTTTTTTCAAGACACCATCAACTTTGTCACCTTTATTTTTATTTTTTTGAGTTATCACATCTTTGCATCTTCTCACTCCTTTTTAGTATTTTTTTTTAATGTACTGACATTGTTTGGCCAGAAACCTTATTCTTACTTCTTCTTTAAGTCTATACTAAAGTGGGAGATAACATGCTAAATGGACATATATTATTACATTCAAATAATAATATTACAGGCTATATAATGTGCCTACTATTGCACCTTGGGTAGCCTATTTTTCTACTAGCCTACAAGTAGAACAACTTTCTGTAGTATTTTACTGAGACCCACATGCTATAGTCTACCTATTGCTACAACATACAAAGTAGTGTACTGACAGTGTCACGTGGGCTGACTTTTGTAATAGAATTTACCTTTTCCCTGCCCATCTTACGAGCCATGAAGCATGTATGTGTGGTACACACATATACTAGCACACATCTTATTTGGGAGCTCGACTTTAGCTCGAGGACTACCAACTTGCAAGGACTCTCGAAAGTGGATTTCTAAGCATCCTCGAGTCCCCACTGTCTCCCTCTTCAATTAAATCAATACATGTATCTTGCTCTTACATGTCATCTCTTCTCTTACAACATATGTACACATAACACAAGCTCGCACTTGTTGCATGCCTCAACATGACCTCAAAATTTGACATCGAGCTCACCTTTCCTCTCATTAGGATCCAATAAAACCCTCTGTAAATTTCTCTTCTCGTCGTCCAAATCCATTGTAGAAATCACCATGAAGTAAAAAAAAAAAAAAAAAAAAAAAACTAGAAATTCAGGATCACAACTCAAGTCTTCCCTATAGCTCAAGCCTGTCATTATACTTATTGAAAATTCCCTGCGGTGCCGAGTGAGCTTCCATTCTCTTGGGCAACATCTTGTCTCACACATCTTCTCTATATATGCTTAGAAGTTGTTTGGTCAACACTCCTACCATAAAAAAAAGGTCTTACAAAATAATAATAATAATAATAATAATAATAATAATAATAATAATTTCATTGAATGCACGAAATGCTTTGGGTTAGCATTCCTCTGTGGTTCGAGCACTGTTTCAACCTTGCTAGCTCCTCTTGCTACTCGAGTTCCTTTTTGAGCCAATGTTGGCGGGTTGAGCACAACATTAGCAACTGTTTTAGCAAAAATGTATTAATGATATTCTACAAATTATTCTTGCGAATGTTGTCACTTGTTAATGATTCGAGGACTTCTCATTTTTTCTTATTATTATTCTTTCTTTTTGACCCTGGATTTATAATTTTATTTTCTTTCCTCTTGGTTTGTTCTATGTGGATTAACAACATAATGAAGAAACCCAGTTCAACACACACAGTGACTATCTCTTTCTCTCTCTAAAACAACAGAGACAACGGGGATCTCGTAGTCCGACTCCTTTGGATCTCAAGTTTGTTACCTCTTTGAATCCTCGAAGAGCACTGCCCGACTCCTTTCGAACTCGAGCCTGGAGCCTCGACACTTCCCTCAAAGAAGCACCATCCTTTCACCTCTCCCTCAAACAAGATTTATGTCAATATATTGTTTCATAAACCATACTTGTAGGTACTACTAGAACTCACGCTGTCACCTATTAACCCTTCCAACCATCGATTTCTCTAGAGACTTCGGCAACCTTCTCGAGGTCACTTGATCTTAAAGGAAAATCTATTCCTATAAATGCTCAAGCAATGCTTCGGATTAGCATTCTATCACAGCTCGATCGTTGTTTTAGGTCAGCTCGTACTGCTCGAGCACCGCTTCGGCAAACACTTCCTCGTGGCTTTAACAAACCTTTGGTAGCTTTTTCAAAAAAAATTGTAATATCTTTTTTTTTATAAAATAATGCTGGAAGCGTTTAAGGACTTTTCTAAAGTGTATATATATAAATGGCCCACTCATTGAGTCCAATCACTTACCAAAATTTCTCTAGTACGATCTCACCACAAATAACATTAGTTATTTATTTATTTATTATTATTATTTTTATTTGTTTTGGGTCCATTGAGATATGGATATTCCCTTTGAAATAGCCACTGTCCTTTTGCTTCATGGTCCTCTCATCGTGCTTGGGATCTCCCCTCGTTCAAGCTCAAGCTCGTCCATCTTTGTACCTAGGATTTTATTTTATTTTCGTGCATAGTTCACTTCACTGCAGTTAGAGCATCCATTAAGGACTCGGAGGCTTAAGACTTTCTTGCGAGTTTGGATTTCTCATTGACATTCAAGTCCTTTCATGAGCACAACCCTCATCATGCATGCTAAAAGTTTCCTGTAGTACCAACCAAACCTATACTTTATTTTATTTTATTTTATTTTTTCTTTACTTGAAATGCAAAATCATCTTTTGTCTGCTAGAAGCAGTTGTATCAATGCTTCTACCAGACAGGGGAGCGGAGGACCAAGACCTGTTGTAAATCGTCCTAAGACTCTGTTTTTGGGTTTGTTAAAAGGAGGGAGAGATTATTTCTTTTTTGAAATGGGGCCAAGTATTTTTTCCTTTTCCATGGGGTGTTTGATTACTCTTATTTTCTTTCCCCTAGATTTTAACTATCTTAACAAAGTTTTGATCCAGACTAGTGTACATCTTGTAATCTATTTTACGGTCTATTTTACGAGATAGTTTAATTATTACATTCCATTACAACTTGTTTTCTAATAATATGATTTTGTTGTGTGAGGAACATCTTAACTTGGATAAAATGTACTTAGTTCATTGATTTGGGGTGCGCCTATCTATAATAAAGGCCGAAGCTCCATGGGAATGAGGAGTTCCTCTCTATAGATACACCTCAATGAGTTTATTAAGATCCTCTCTATGAATATTTTCCTTTTACATGCAGTCTTTTGCTTGAGTTCCCTCCTCGCAGCCTTGAGCTCCCTCCTCGTGACCTCAAGCAGGGGGGCAAAATGTTGATATACGTGCCACGACATCTACTTGAGCGGCACCATTTATGAAAATAAGCACACCTGGCCAGTACTTATCTGGCGTGCTCCTGAAAGGACCAAGTATTCTCGAGCTACTGGTCCTATAACTGAATTCATTGGCCGAGGAAGGGGTCGCTACCCTTCCTCTCTTGTGGACACGCTCCGCTCCAGTCGGATCGGCCCCTCCTCCCCTCTTTTTTGAGGTTGCTTCCTACAAGCGTAACCTCAGACATTTTTCTCTCGAGCTCCCTTTAACTGTAAGGACCTCAAGACGCAGAGCTCGGCTAGCTCACATTTATGAAACTGACTTTTCTACTAAACTCCACTCGGATAGCTCATATTTATGAAGCTGACTTTTCTATTGAGCTCCCCTCAGGCTTTTGCTATAGCTCCCTCCTCGTGACCTCGAGCAGGGGGGCAAAATATTGATAATCGTGCCACGCTAGCTGTCTAAGTTGCGGCACCTTTGAAAATAAACATACCTGGCCAATACTTATCTGGCGTGCTCCTGAAAGGACCAAGTATCCTCTCGCTCGTGCTAGCACCTCGCACTCGCTCGCGCTAGCACCTCGCACACGCTCGCGGTCACACCTCGCACTCGCTCGCCCTAGCACATCGCACGCGCTCGCGCTAGCACCTCGCACTCGCTCGCGCTCACACCTTGCACTTGCTCGCGCTAGCACCTCGCACTCCTTCGTGCTTGCACTCCCTCTCGTTAGCACCTTGCACTCGCACTCGTCCGAAACAACCATTCTTCTTGCTCTTCCGAGGTCGCTTCCTGCTAGAGCGACCTCGAGCTTTCTGCTTTGTGAGCTCCCCTCTTTTTGGATAGAGGGACCTCAAAATATAGACTCGGGATATGGCCTCGCGAGGTCAAGAAGGCAGAACCTCGGAGTAGGCTCATTCCTATGCTGGGTTCGGGAATTTGAGGGCATGTGGACAGGTGGCTGAGATCCAAGTTACCGCCTTAGTCCGAGGCCGATGCAAGGGGGAAAGGACATTCGGTATTCGAGCTCGAGCTATGAGTGATAAGTGCATTAATTACGAAAGACATTTGACAAGACCTGTATTAATTAAGGAGCACCGTTACCTCTTTGGACCGGGGGACAAAACGCCGTGGTCCATCCGACAATGTCCCATCTGTCGGGAGGGGAGACTCTCGAACCCTTGGGCAAGAGCGGGCTCACCCAAAGAACTGAGAGACATTGACCGAGGGAATGAGCACTATAAATAGGCGCATTAATCAGCCTTTTAGAGGGAGAGAGAACAACGACCCTAACCACCAAACATTGCCGAGCTCGAGTTCATTGGGTACCAAGGTCGGCCTTCTCTTTCTTAATCTTTACTGTGCAAAGAGTCCCTTGTATTGCTTGAATCTCCACTTGGATATTGATCTCAGATTTCTTGGCTTACGTGGAACGATCTTCTCATCTTACTCACGAACCACCATCAACAATTAGTTATGGTGGTTCAAGAACGACCGATCAGGTGAGTTCTTCTTAACAGTGTCTATCTATCACCTTTCATTACCAATGATTTATATATACAGTAAATCGCTATTATTTCGTTTTAGATGCTCTTCTCTTTTACATTCAACAATCCATCATAACTTTTTTGTCCTTCAAACACATCCATTATCTTCATTTCTCAAATCCATCTCCACTTCCACAAATCATCACTCTTTTACAGTCAATTACCTCATCAATTCATGTGGGTTGAGTCCAGAAAATTCTATTTCAGCTTCCAAAAAAGTCAATTTGAAAACCCTAGACAAACCAGATTCAGTTCTCAACTTTTTCAAGAACCATGGATTCAGCAATACCCAGATCTCAGCTCTCATTAGAAAACGCCCAAAAGTTCTCTTATCGGATCCCAAGAATATCCTCTTGCCCAAATTCGACTTCTTTTACTCCACTGGCATTTCTAGCACTTAGCTCGCGAAGACAGTATCCACAAGCCCATATATATTGGAATATAGCTTGAAGTACCAAATCATCCCATCTTTCAATTTGTTGAAGAATTTTCTTCATTCAGATGATAAGTTAATTGCCGCTTTCAAACGATATCCTAATATTTTAGGTCACAATGCTGTTATATCTTCCAACATTGAACTTTTGAGACAACACGGCGTCCCAGATTCCAACATTATGGTCTCACTTACTAATCAACCTAGGTCATTCTTGATTAAGCATGATAGATTGAAGGAGATAGTGGAGGATGCTAAGAAAATGGGTTTCAACCCTTCACAATTCCTTTTTGTTGACGCTTTTTGGGCATTGCCTGCAATAAGCAAATCAACATGGAAAAGGAAGATGGAGGTTTATGAGAAGTGGGGTTGGTCCAAGGAAGAAACAATGTTGGCTTTTACAAAACATCCGGGTTGTATGACGGTATCCGAGGAGAAGATAATGGTGATGCTGAATTTTTATGTCAACACAACGGGTTGGCAGTCTTCTGTAATCGCCCATCGTCCAAAATTAATGTCACCGAGCTTGGGTCAGAGGATAATTCCCAGGTGTTCAGTACTTCAAGTTTTGTTGTCCAAAGGTTTGATCAAGAAACCCGTTAGCTTACACATATTACTGGAGTCCACAGAGCGTATGTTCCTCCACAAGTTTGTGACTTGTTATGAGGAAGCTCCTCAGTTGTTGAAGCTATATCAAGAAAAATTTGTCCTTTCCAAATCACACGGTGATGATGATTATGAAGGTAAGAGTGGAACAGATCAGTTGTAGAATATCCCCTCTTCTGTCATGTTATTGGAAGATTGCAAACTTAATTCAGTTGTACTTTAATATGAGTAGCATTTTGTTCCAATTCCCTAAGCAGCTTGTGTCTCTGGATTTTCATAATAATCTGCACGTACCTATTCGTCATGTTCATGTTTATTGGCATTTTGACATGCATGATAATAACAGTTTGATTTTAGAGTGGTTTTAGTTGTATAGCTCACTCTATTTTCATGAGAGCATCGACAGTGGCAACCGATTCCTAGAAGAAAAAGGAACAACCTGCAAATGCTCTAGTATAAACAGAATGCTACCAATTGAAGTCATTGAGTTTGACATATCAAAGACATAAATTATTTAGCTACAAACATGTGCTTGTGAACCATTTAGAAATGACAAAAAGTTAAATATTAGAGGAGAGGATGGCTGCATCAGGATGGAGCGTAATACGGCTACAGCACTAACAGGCAAATGTGGAATTGCAATGGAGCCCTCTTACCCCCATCAAGAATGGCCAAAATCCCCCCAACCCCGGCCCATCTCCATCTCCATCTCCATCTCCAATTAAGCCTCCCAATATGTGCGACGATTACTATGCATGTGCTGAAAGCAACACCTGCTGCTGTCTCTTTGAATACGGCAAATATTACTATGCATGTGCTGAAAGCAACACCTGCTGCTCTCTTTGAATACGGCAAATATTGCTTCGAGTGGGGATGCTGCCCACTCGAGGGTGCCACCTGCTGTGAAGACCATTATAGTTGTTGCCCCCATGAATACGCCCGTATGCACTGTCTACTTTGGGACCTGCCTGACGGCAAGAACTTAACTGAGTAATCTTTTATTTCTGTGTATATGATGCTATCATGGTAATTTGTAGTAGTTTCTTATTGATGGGTTGTTGACTTGCTTACTTGAACAGAGCAAGAACAATCCGTTGGGAGTGAAGGCAATGAGGCGCGATCCTGCTAAACCTCATTGGGCATTCGGGGGTGGAAAAAGCAGCAGTGCTTGATTGCCTTGGAGCGTCTTTGAAGTTGATGATCTTCAACTTATCTATAGATGACAAATAGATAAATGGTCTATTGATCATGATATGTATATAGTGCTTTATATTTCTGTGTTGCATATTCTTCAACAAACAGATTGTTGTTGATTTCCATTTTACTCAAATTATGTAGAGTATATAAATGATTCATGTTCCCGTTATCTTTTGTGGGCCTTCCATGAATTGTTTCTCATTCCAATGTTGATTTTAGTATATTTTGATGATAACAACGTTTGGTTTTCTTATAATTTATTGTCTTGTTGGGATAACCTTTATTTTTTTGTACATAAAGCTTTATTTCGAAAGTTTGTTGAAGAAGGCGCGACATTAATGACATGTTTGGAGAAGATAAATAACAAATCCAGACTTGAGTTCGCAAGTCAGTTAGGCCCTGTTTGGATCGGGTTTTAAAAAGCCATTTTTGGCTTTTAGAGCTAAAAAACTGATTTTTTTGAGTGTTTGGATGAGTTGGGCATAAAGCTTTTTGGCTCTAGAAGAGCGTTTGGAAGAAGATGGTATGACCCAGCCTGTGTAGGAAGAGATGAGGGAAGTTTTTTTTTTTTTTTGAGATCTAATGAATTTTTCATATCCTACAAAAAACATAAATAATGATAGGGAGACCGATGAATTAATCCCGAATAAACAGTTTCCAAAAATAATTATTTAAAAGTTATAAGAATGACTAACCACGTCAAATTAGATACTAATTCGGTGATTCCTTTTTGATTCCCCTATCATTACTCTAAAAAAATAAGGATAAATTGCACAAACACCCGGTTAAGATTTTGTTTTTAATTTTCACTTACATACTAAATTACTTTTTGGATTTTGACACATGCGAAATGACTCATTTATCCCCATTTATTTAAATATAACTTAATACAAAATATCTATAACATTACTTGCCAAAAATACCCTTATAACATAACCCACAAAATCAGACTCTCTCCTCTCTCAATCAAAGGTCATCTCCACCGTGTGCATTTTTTTCTCTCTCTATTTCTTCTCCAAAACACTGCCTTAGGGCCTGTTTGGTTTGTGTAATGTAGTGGTGTGTGGTGTTTCCTACAGTGCTACAGTAGCCCATTTCAGAACACATGATGTTTGGCCTGCCTTATTGTGTTCTCAACAGTAGTGGAACACTTTCAGAATAAACCCAATATTTGGCCCAAAAGCTGGAACAACAATTTGGTGTTCTCTGTTGTTCCAGCCCATCTTTTTTACTGTAGCGGAGATTAGAGGAAAATTTTTATTAGGGCAAATCATTTCAGCCTCCCAATCGCCTCCGTCTCTATTCTCGTTCTCAACTCTGGAGCTTGTTCCCTCTCTCTATCTGCAACTGCAAACACAAAATCTACAAGGATTAGAAGTTCAAAACCTGCCTCAATCTGTATTCTTTATTCTCGTTCTCTCTCTACAACTGCAACTGTATGGGTTTTGTTTTAATTTTTTTTTAGGGCAAATCATTCCAACCTCCCAAACTCCTCCATCTCTATCCTCGATCTCTCTCTTTGCAATTGCAAACTTGTATGGGTTTTGTTTTAATTTTTTTTAGGGCAAATCATTTCAGCCTCCCAAATGCCTCCATCTCTATTTTCGATCTCTCTCTCTGCAACTGCAAACTGTTATGGGTTTTGTTTTAATTTTTTTTAGGGCAAATCATTTTAGCTTCCCAAACGCCTCTGATAAGTGCTTAAATGTTGCACATTTCAGCACCTAAGCTAAGGTATTTCAGTCTTTGCATCTATCTTAATTTTATATTTTAGTCTTAATTTATGTTTATGTGTATTTCAGGGCAATAAAGTTAAAATGAGCTAAGAACAGTCCAATTAAGCCATTTTGGAGTTAAGCAAAGATTTTCAGACAATGGCACAAAGCGGTCAATTTCGGGCCTTTGATGATGTTCCCAAAGATGGAGAAGCAAACCAAATAGCCCGGGGCAAAAATGGAGCTGAATAAGGCTTAAAGGAATTTGTCAACTCTGGGGGGATCGATCCTCAGGGTGGGGGATCGATCCCCCAGGACTTAGCAACATTACAGTTTTTATTTAATTTTTGGGCTCATTTTGGAAACTGTTGGGCTTTAATGAGATTGTTACTTAAGGCCCAGTGAGCCATTAGATTAGGTATCGTTTTTTCTCTCTGGAAAAACACGCGAAGAAAGGGAAAAAGCAAGAACAGGCTAGGGTTTGGAAGAAAAGTTCAGAGAAGATGAAGCAGATGATGGGGATTGTCCTGTCTTCGACTCCATCAACCATGAGTGGCTGATTCTTCTACTTAGGGTTGGATAAACCCTAAGCATGTAACCTATTCTCTCTCTCTTTTCATACTTTTTGGGGATTAATTTATGTAATTAGTGTATAGTCTTGAATATTATGAATTAAATTCTTCCAATTGATTATCTGTATTAATCTCATATTGTCTTATGTGTGGTTGATTGATAAACAAATTTTACACATGAATTCTTTGTTAATTGATTCTTGTGATGGCTATGCATGGTATTGCTTAGTTGTAATTGTGTTTCAAATTGATGAAAAATGCTTCCATTTGATGGATGGTACTACATGTTTAGGTTAATTTGTTGTCTAATTAGTTTTAAATTCATGTTTAATTAGTTTAATTTAAGTTTAATTAATTTAATTGCAATTCAATTATTAGGTAAGTAGACCATCCATACTTATGTTTGAATTCCATACTTTTTGTCACAATTGCATTATCTTCTAGATTAATGTGTGTTAAATTTGTAACTTGGATTGATAAATCATGCTTTGAATGGGTGAATTGCACTACACTTAGTTTAATTGTCATTAGGTAATTGATTCATGCTTGAAATTGATGGTTTACACTTTTCATTGCACTTGTTAGCCACATATAGATTACATAGTATTATTTCCCCAATTAGTTGAAAGTGAGTAAGTTAGGGAATGTGCTTAGTGGTGAATCCTACACCCTAAGTCTCTTTCCAATCTCTTAAACTCTATTTCTTTATTGCAATCATTTAGTTTAAAATTAGTTTTAATCACAAACAAAACCCTTTTGGCAATCACAGAAGCACTAAAGTATAATTCAATTCTGGAAAACCTATAATTGTTTAGATCTCTTGGGACGATCCCTGCTCACTTCATACTCCATAGTATAAGTGTTTAGTGGTTTTATAAATTTTAAAATATGGTGCCCACTTGACATTATTTCTAAACCTAAAGTGTTGTGCATTATTTTGTGCACACGCTCGGTCGCACCATAGTTTTGGCGCCGTTGCCGGGGATCTAACTGTTTTTTGAAGAATTGAATTAAACATTAGTTCTTTGTTGATTGTCTACTTTTAAGTCATTTTAATTTTTAATTTTTTTTTATTTGATTTGTCAATTAGGTACTTGAAGCAAAGTGGAGCAACGCTGTACTTAGAAGCAATTAAAAAAAAAATTTGAAGTTGCTTAAGGACCATCTGTAAGTTCTCTTTAATTTTAGTACTTTAATTGTATACCAATTTGCATGCTTTGGACAGCCCAAGTGGAGGCTTAAATTGAATTGTTTTATTTTTAAGTCCAAGCATACCTTCTTGTAGAAGGCATCGGCCCGTGTGGAGGCATTTATTTGTTTTAAGTGCATTGATATTATTGAGGAGTTTGGGAACATCGTATGTGGAGGTTGAAATTTTGAAATGTTGGTGTGTTGACTTGTTCTAGTGCATGCATGGTCGTAGATCACTTAATCGTCCTCTTGCTCCTGTAAATCAAAATCTCGAAATTTTTCTTCGGCGTTTAAGAAGTAGTACTAGGGATAGTCATCTTAATCTTTTAAAATTTGATCTTCCATCACCTTTAATGGAAGATCCAATTGAAGATCCCGTTGTAGATCTTGGTCATGTGGATCATAATGGTGTGCACCACCCACCACAAGTTCATATTGTGGATCCTCAAGGTGTGCATCCACCCTTGGGAATGCCACAACCAGTTAAT